ATCCAAGCGCTAGCTTCATTGTGAAGAGCAACCGTAACAATGGAGGGAAGGGCCCAAACGCGCGCCTCTGTTCTCGGGATGGAAGAGAGGAGGAAGAAGAGGACGGCTGCAGCTTTTTTGTGCTGTAGGCTTATCACCGTCGGTTCTTGGCTAGAACCGACAGTGATAGATACCAATCACTGTCGGCTCTTTGCTTGAACCGACTGTGATAAGTGGCCGCCAAAACACTGCCGGATCAAGCCACAAACCGACAGTGATGTGGTCCTTCACTGTCGGTTTTAGCCCAGCCCCAATCATTTTCTCATTTTTAAGTTTATAACCGGCAGTGAAGGTACATCACTGCCGGTTCTCACAAATCCGGCAGCAATGAGACCGGCAGTGATGTCCAAATCAATAGTAGTGTAGGGAGGCCACCACATCTAAGAACTTAAAACATATTTTTTGTACCCTAAATGATTTTAAATAAAAATGTCTATCAACTATAAAGTTGCTGATCTCTTCAAGCTCTACAACTTTCATATAATGTTCACCTTCATCCAACTACATTTTGAAAAGTTATGTTTTTTGTTGCACTAACACTAACCTTCTTTACAAATGCTTTTTATACAAACAATTCATAACACTAACCGCTTCTAGAAATATTTCTAGAGATGTGGTACTAACCACCCTTGAAAATAGATGAATTTTTTTGGAGCGGCTAGAAACATTGATCGCCTATATAAATTGATTTCTGGATACCGATAATCTCATAAATCATGTTTAGAAATGGTTTTTAATGAACCCCTTTCGAAGTAAGAGACATTTGTGTAATAGTATGAGCTTTGAGGATGGCCAAGGACTCCGACATGGAGGTGTACCCCGTGCTAGCTCTGTGCTCGTGAATATTCACGATGATCCTCTACCTGGGGATGGTTGCACCGAGGGATGCGTCTCCATCAAGGATGTCCATGCTAGCATGCATCCATCGCCTAGAGCTGGTGGTGGCGTGCTGCATCCCCCCGGCTACGGGGATTTCTGTTCGGGGTTCCTTGTCCCGTCTCTGAAGGTGGCCACAAATGCTGTTGGCCTGGCCGATGAAGCACCTGCTGGTCACCAGTGGGCCGGCCGCTCAACATAATCATTCATCATCTATACTTCTTCGTTTTCCTAATCTAAAAAAAGTAGACTAAACTTTTGGGTTAGGTAGGTTTGGTAACTCGCGTGCTCTGACGTGGTGGCCCAACGGATGGTTCTGCACCTGGTCAAACACTTAACTAATCTACTCTTACTTGATCTTCTCCACCGAGAAATTCCAGCGCAGGTTGACTCCACATGTCATTATGATACAAGTGTTAAATCTTAAAAAGTTCACGAATTAAATGTCAATTATCAAAATCTCTCCCGCTAAACATGTCAAGTCAAGTGAAGATGATTACTAAAGGGAGGATATGGCGATGAGGTCCAATGGAGACCTGTAAAAAAACTGTGATCTATTTATATATTCATCTCTTCCTATCTTTTCAGTGAATCACACAATAAACTAATATATTCTTACTCGATCTTTTCTCCTAAGAAGTCCTCGCTACTGAATCAAGTCGATTACTTGAATCCGGATAGATAAGTTCTACTATAAAGAACCTAGCGAGCTGAGCTACGCTAAGTCCATCATCTCTTCCTATCTTAATTCTTATGTAGGCATAGTTTCTCGTATCTTGTATAGCAAAGAATTTTCATCTCTCTATTATTTAGTTCCAATATGACCACCATTTTGTTAGATGACACCCTAATTAACAGTCATAGAAATAATTCTAGTTTCTAGTTTAGACTATTCTTGCACCCCTCGCCAAATCCTGACAATGACTGATTAACACATTGTTGATTTGCGTGGTGGAGCCGTGGAGGTGGTGCCAACATTCAAAGAACACACGGCTTTGGAGAAAGAGACTTACACAAGGTATCTTTCAGTCTATTTTCTCGTACTCCCTCCGTCCCTTTTTATCTGTCGTTTGCGCTTCCAAAAAAACAACTTTGATTAAATATATATTAAAAAATATTAATATTTATAGTACATAATTAGTATCATTGGAAAGATATTTGAATCTAGTTTTTTAATAAATTTATTTTGAGATACAAATGTTACACGTATTTTTTACAAATCGAGTCAAACTTGTGGCACGAAAACCGGAAACGACAAACAATAAGGGACAGAGGGAGTATGCATGTTTAGCACGTTTTGTCCAGAGAGTCCACACTCAGTACATGCATGTGCTCGTCGAGGTGCTCATGTCTGTTACGTTTAGTTTTAAATTCTTCGAAACCGGTGGCAGCTTTCTCTGGATTCTAATACTTTATTAAAACCACCGGCATGAATTTTCGGTTCAAACACAACTCCATCTCTGACGAAATTTTCTTGGATCTATCCTTAAAGAAGTAATTGATCCACGGCTTTGACTCACCAAATGATTAAAGCCTGCAGGAGGTCAGGTCATGGCGGCAATCACGTCTAGAAGAGACCCCCATTCCGGCTGCCCGCGAGGTGGAAACAGGATTTTTTTTTTTTTTGATGGAAACAGGAGGGGCTTGCCCCTACGGCCCTACTGTGATTTTAATGGAAACGGGATATTTTAGCAGGATATATTCAGAGACGATGAACCATCTGTTATGCTTCCTGCAGGCTGTGCAAGACATTTTGAGCTGACAACTGAGCATGTCTATCAGTCTATGTCTCCGGATACAGCATGGATTGAAATGTTCTTTCTGAGGGAGGAGATGAAAAAAAACTTTGAAAGCTTCTTCCTATAGGTTACTCATCTGTTTTGATGAAATCTTCAGACTAGTATTTTGTCAATGCGGAGTTGGAATGGACTTATGGACCTTTGCTTGCATTGGGCATGAGGTGGCTGACCTTTTCTTTCTTCCATTTACTTTGCCTATACTCTATACCAAACAACAAAACACGGAAGGGACGCAGATTGGCATCCGATCCAGGGTTTTCACTTTCACAAAGGAGACGATTGGATTGATAATATAATACACTATAATAACAGAAGAAAAGTAGTGATACAAAGATGCAGATGACACTTTCTTATATATCCGAACCTAAGTGATTTTTTTTCGAAAGGCGGCAAAAAGCTTTTGCCAAATTTTTATTAGACGATAGTAAGGAAAAAAAAAGGTGTTACAACGTTTTTCCAATCTCAACAACAGACTCAACTCTACTAAGGCGTACAGACCAAACCACTCTACTGAGTAAACCTAAGTGATGACACCTTTCAAAAGAAAAACCGAAGTGATAGAGTTTTGAGACAGCTACGCATATCACTTTCGTCTATATCCAATAGCAATATTTAGCTTTGGAGATAAACCTACGCACTCATGTCCCTTTTGTAAATCTAATAGATCTGTATTAGCTAGGTTTTGATTCAATTGATTGATTGATTGATATCACTTTAGTATATCTAACGACCTACGTATTAGCTAGGGCCTATAATATTACAATGAGATAAATATGATAGCCAAATTAAGTTTTGAAAATCTAAAATGTCGACGTCATTTGTGAAGTGTTCGACTTTTGCGCCGGCCGCCCATATGCACATCACATTGCCAGTTTGATGGTCCGTCCGTCCTACTGCCTATTGGTTCATGGTCATGCATACGTGGTCGCTTTCGTAATCCATGCCAGACATGCCCTGCACTGCAATTAAGAACCACTTGAAAAGTCTCTGCGCACGAATTTCTCTAGTTATTGAAGTCAAAACGGCATAATCTAGTAATTTACTTCCAAAAAAAGTCAAGACCGATACCCTGGAAATCGGTCTGCTTTTAGCTTGCAGACGTGCCCGCCGTGTATACACTCCCCCGATCGGACCACATATCACACGTCGCAAAGAGAACATCTCTTTTTGAAAGACGCAAGATAACATTTCTGGCTGTTAGTTGGTGTCACATAGCTTGGTGTCTCGATCAGGCGTACTAACCGTACGTGCATACAAGCCTAGCCAGCTAGGCACGTACACGACCGTTACGTACGTACAGACATGCATGTATTGGAGTATTGTTTACGTACATACGTGCATGGCTGAGCAACTCGCCGTAAATATCCAGCAAAATCTTCTTCGTGATTGCATGGTCAGCACAGCATCCAAAAGCAGGGCCACGTTCATATATATTATTGGTAGTAGTCAAATTGATCACCTCAACCTTCAATATTAGGTACGGTGTGCCAAATAATCTAAAACAAGCTAGCCCTAACGACTGGTCTGCTGCTACAGCATCCAAAAGCAGGGCCATTCGCTGTAAGCCAGCATCTCTCGGAACCCTCCTTGCATGCTGACGTTCGTTGAAAACTTGCATGCATGCGGCGCGCATTGGGTTCCTTTGACCTTGACTCGTTCCAGGCTTCCAGCCTTCCAGGCGACTGTGCATATATGCATGCATGCTGGCATAAACTAGCTAGCAACCCAAGTCGCCGTCGTGCCAGTTCCCGGGTGAAGATTCAAGCCTAGGTAGCTCGGACGTCGTCATCGTCGACGTCACACGCTCGCACCACCGCGGCGAGGCAGTCTGGTAGGCCACGCCAATCAACTCACGCTAACGGAGGAGGAGGAGGGCGTTTCAGGCTAGTACGCGGCTTCTGGAGCCACACCGTGCATTTGTCGCCGGAAAAACGCTGCCAGGACGCGCGTGGACGAGTTGCTAAGCTAGCCAAGCAGACAATCATTCGAAGTTATCGACCGGACCGGGGTAGTTTAGGTACTGACTGGTGGCGGTATGACGAATGGAGGATGCACATGCATATGCATCCCTTCGTCGTTGCATTGGCAGCTCTCGCTCTATAAATATCTGCGGCCTCCGAGCCAGATGAGCATCGCAGCCACACACGGAGATCACATTGCAGAAGCTAGAGCTAGCCTTTTGCATCCTCTCGCTCGCTGCTAAACACACATCATAATCATACACGAAGATCAGAGAGCTGAGCTGAGCTCTAGCTCTGCTGCATGCCCCTTCGGCAACGTCCGACGATGGGCGGTGCAGATAAGATGCCGGCAGGCCGGCTCAGCTGGTTACTGCTAGGCGTGGTGTTAGCCTTTGGAGTTGCAGCTAGCCCGGCCCAGGCCTCCAGGAATACTCACTACGACTTCGTTGTAAGTTGATCCATACATCTCATTTCAACCTGTATATACTACTACCAGTTTAATTTCAGAGATCCAGGCAGTTTGTTTTAGTACGTATAGTATTTGAGGGCACGTGCAGAACAACAGTTGTACATATGTTATCGTTTTGAAATATTTAGCTAAGCTATGTCGATGTGATGATTGCATGCCTTCAGATCATTTGCATATGCGAGCTAGATATCTGATCTAGCGACTATGAATTGTTAGATACTCGATCTGCATGATGAAGTAAGTAGACCTAGCTAGCTGTATTCCGACCGGCACAGATTGACTTCTTACTTGCTTGTCGAGAAACACTAGCTATATATCTTGCTAAGCATAGAAATTACGGAAGCCACAATTTTCCCATTTCCCTGATGTGAGCTGCTGAACATCGTCATCACTCGAGAAAAAAGCTAGCAACGATGTGACACATCTTATTAGCTGCTTGCTAATCTTTTCCATTCCAGCATGCAGCATCGTCTTATCGAAATTAGCCTCTTTGCTAGTTATCCAAGCTCCTTGACGCCCACTGCTTGCTTCGTCCTACACACCATGCAGTAGGCTCGCGATTAAGAGGAGACAAGGACTAACGCCGGCGTGTGATATATATTTTGCAGATCAAGGAGACCAACGTCACCCGGCTCTGCCAGGAGAAGACCATCCTGGCCGTGAACGGGCAGTTCCCCGGGCCGACCATCTACGCGCGCAAGGACGACGTGGTCATCGTCAACGTGTACAACCAGGGCAACAAGAACATCACCCTCCACTGGCACGGTGTGGACCAGCCGCGGAACCCGTGGTCCGACGGGCCGGAGTACATCACGCAGTGCCCCATCCAGCCCGGCGCCAACTTCACATACAAGATCATCTTCACCGAGGAGGAGGGCACGCTGTGGTGGCACGCGCACAGCGACTTCGACCGCGCCACCGTGCACGGCGCCATCGTCATCCACCCCAAGCGCGGCTCCGTCTACCCCTACACAAAGCCGCACAAGGAGATGCCCATCATCCTCGGCGAGTGGTGGAATGCAGACGTGGAGCAAGTTCTCCTGGAGTCCCAGCGGACCGGCGGCGACGTCCAGATTTCGGACGCCAACACCATCAACGGGCAGCCCGGCGACTTCGCCCCGTGCTCCAAGAACGACACCTTCAGGATGTTGGTGGAGCACGGCAAGACATACCTACTCCGGGTCATCAACGCGGGGCTCACCAACGAGATGTTCTTCGCCATCGCCGGGCACCGCCTCACGGTGGTCGGCACCGACGGCCGCTACCTCAAGCCGTTCACCGTCGACTACATCATGATCTCCCCCGGACAGACCATGAACATGCTCCTCGAGGCCAACCACGCCACCAATGGCTCAGGCGACAACAACCGCTACTACATGGCCGCGAGCCCGTTCTTCACCAACATCGGACTCCCGGTCAACGATAAAAACACCACGGCCATTCTGGAATACACGGACGCGCCGCCCTCCGCGGGGCCACCAGACTACCCCGTCCTGCCGGTCATCAACGACACCGCCGCGGCAGCGGCGTACACATCGCAGCTCCGCTCCCTGGTCACCAAGGAGCACCCGATCGACGTGCCAATGGAGGTCGACGAGCACATGCTCGTGACGATCTCCGTCAACACGCTCCCCTGTGGGGCCAACGAGACGTGCATGGGCCCCGGCCCCGGAAACAACACCCGCCTTGCGGCGAGCCTGAACAACGTCAGCTTCGTGCCGCCGACCGTCGACATCCTCGACGCCTACTATTACTCCATCAGCGGCGTGTACGAGCCGGACTTCCCCAATAAGCCGCCCTTCTTCTTCAACTTCACCGCCCCCAACCCGACGGTGGAGTTCCAGCTCTGAAGCGGGGCACCAAGGTGAAGGTGGTGGAGTACGGCACCGTGGTGGAGGTGGTGTTCCAGGACACGGCCATCCTCGGTGCCGAGAGCCACCCCATGCACTTGCACGGCACGGTTTCAGCTTCTACGTGGTGGGCAGAGGCTTCGGTAACTTCGACAAGGATAAGGACCCGGCCACGTACAACCTGGTCGACCCGCCGTACCAGAACACCGTCTCCGTGCCTACGGGCGGCTGGGCTGCAATGCGCTTCCGCGCGGCAAATCCTGGTGAGTATTTGCTAAATTTGGGCAACAGTGATCGAACTACAGTATATATGTTGTTATATATATATGCTTTTTTTATCTTACTTTGTGCTGTTTATTTCTTTGCTTGTCTGTTAGGTGTGTGGTTTATGCATTGCCACTTCGATCGTCACACGGTGTGGGGCATGGACACCGTGTTCATTGTGAAAAATGGCAAGACCCCAGGCGCTCAAATGATGCCACGTCCTCCTAACATGCCTAAGTGCTAAGGAAACAAAGGCATGAGCCACGGATGATGCGGTGTATGCAAGACAATCGAGCAAAATAACTTTTCTCAGTTGATGATTGAATTAATTATTTGCGGTACAGATTTTAAATAGTGTCCTTTGTATTTTTTTTGTTTTTCATTTGGTTGGAAGAGAAAAATATATTTGTTGTATTCATTATTTGTGTTGTTTTACTCCTATTGCAATCTTTAAAAAGTGTAACTAATCAATGTATTCTACGGAGTTACATTCTATATCCCGTGAAGATTCAGTATAAATACGTACTTCATATATGTATTCATTTATTTTCGCCATGCTAAGACCATGATCATGTAGGTCCCTTTTGGATCCTTAGAAATGAAATCTACGCGAAAATCGAAGTCTAGGCACAAATCCAGCAGGTTGCTGATACCCAAGGTATTGCATTTCAGGTTATGGGCTCCTGTTGCATCTGTCTTTGTCAGACCTTGGCATGGATTGAAGTGACGAGCCCACGAGCCTACTAGGCATCATATAGCCTTAACGACAAAGGCTTCGATCTAGCCTTAACGACAAAGGCTTCGATCTGGTATGGTATATCTTTCGAGGAAAAAACAAGGAGAAAACACATATAACTATATTCTTCCACATGACAAAGACAACAAATTGCAATGAACATGTTGAAATTCTTCTGTGAGGAACACGAACCAACAGATTAATTACATTTTCTCTGTGAGCCTTTCGAGACCCATCAAGAAAAATAAGTGGTACACAGGGAAAATATAGTTTCCAGTGGTGTGATTGTTAGGAGATCACTGAGCCAACAATGAGAGAATAAAACATTGAGCAGCAGCATGAAGACTACTATCTCAACTTGGGTGTAATGTAACATTTTCCTATATCCCACGCTCACGTAGCTTTGGTTTGATGGTGGCTACAATCACCATATGTGTCTTCTCCACACGTTGCTGAACACCAATCAGTACCCCCACCAACAAGACAATCACCGGTGCCAAGGTGTAAGTGATGCATGACACTACTGCGAATCAAATGCAATGCTCGATTACTGGTATCTTAGAATTAGAAATGGTGGTGTATGTCCAACATAGCAAATGCATGGATCATCGTGATTAGCCACACCAACTTGATTAGGTTCAGAGATGACGGAGCATCAGTTCTGCTTACTGCAAGCATGAGTGCATGACAATTTGAGTAGGGCATGTCTATGTCTCCGAATACAAGATAGATTTAAATGTTCTTTCTGAGGGAGGAGACGATTTTTTTAAAGCTTCTTTCCACAGGTTACTCATCAGTTTTATTGAAATCTTCATACTAGTATTATGTCAATGCGGAGATCCAATGGACTTATGGACCCTTGCTTGCATTGGGGATGAGGTGGTTGACCTTTTCTTTCTCTCATTTCGTTTGCCTATACCAAACAACCAAACATGAAAGGGACGCAGAAAGCTAGCTAGATTGACATCTGAATATCCAATCCAAGGTTTACTTTCACAAAGGAGATGACTCGACTGGTAATACACTATAATAACACAAAAGCAAGTTGTGATACAAAGACGTATATGACACTTTCTTATATATCTAAACCTACTAAGGATGAGTCTTGAGAAAAAGCTACGCATATCACTTCCGTATATCCAACTAGCAAGATGCATGGCCCGTGCAATTAGCACGTGTAGCTAGCTTTTTCATGGTAACATTTAAATCTTTTTATTTACTCAAAAATTGTTTTGCTAATAGTTTTGCTTATTCATTTGACTTTGGTGTCCTCTCTCCATGCACCCCATATATCATTGGCATGAATTATATATAACTACAATTAAAGCTATTTTTATCTCATTTTCCACTTCCATTTTTCCCACTCCTATCCTATCCCATCTTTGTTCAATTTCTAGCAACGCAAAATCAAGATATGCTTTTTTTAGCTTTGTTAGCTACTATCCATATTGTTCACTTCTTTAGCCCTTGTCGTGGGTTAGATTCCATGGTAGTAATCGGATTGTTCGACGTGGGTCAATACGTGTGTCTCCGGTGACTTAAGAACTCAAAACACAAGGGGTTTATCCTGGTTCAGATGTCTAAGCCCTACGTCCAGTAGTGGAGTTCTTCGTGTTAGGAATACTCAATTGAGTTCTTACAAGACACACACACAAAGAGAGAGAGAGATGTAGGGGGAGCACTATGCTGCAATTCTCCTGGCCAGGGATCCGAGCTGGAGGTCCGATCTAGGTTTCGGTGGGTTCCAATGGTTTGTTCCCTTATACAGGATCCCATGCCCCGCCTTATATATCGAGGGGACGTTGGGAGTACAAGTTAAGGGGTTTCCTAGGGTTCTGAGTCCGAAGCTTTGATCTCCTGGCTGTGTCGGTGCCATCCTTCATCTTGTAGCGAGGTGGGCTGACCACGCTCCAACTGCCTCCAACATCTTCCGCCACCACTTGGAGTTTTGACCGTTAGGTGTTGTCTGCTATCGTTGTGTTGTCCTTGGGTTTGCCTTCGCGTGGCGTCCTTCGCACGCCAGGATCCCGCCCGCACATAGAGGGAGGCTGCCATGTGGGCCTTGCATTCTGCATAGCGGGTGAGTGGGAGCTCTTTTGTGTTGCATCACGCTTTGGGCATGACCATTCATTGGGAGTGGCCAACACAGCCATGCAAGAATGGGGAAACAGAATCCTAGCAGGGCCTGCGCTCTACCGCTCTGCCCGCGTGTTAGACCCCGAATGCCTGACAGATTTCGCAGTATACTCTCGAGGTTTGTCGGGATTGAAGCCTGTTAGGCTAAGCACTTTTCAACCGAGAACCAAAACCCAACCGAACCGAACCAAAATGTCAGTTTTTTCGGTTATCGGTTTTGGTTCTTGTTTCCCGATACTTCGGCTCTCGGCTTTGGCGTTGGTTTTGGAGGTGGCGAGCGCCATGGCACCCTACGTCCACCCCACACGCACGATGCACTAGGCCTAATCTGCACAGCCAGCGAGCCCAACATTCCTCCATACCACCCCATCACCCCCGACCCCATTTCCCCACTCACAGAGTCACGGTCCATCCTCATCCTAGACGGGCAGGGCGGCTGTGGCCCTAAAACCTAACCCTAGCAAGCACGAGCACCGAGCGGGGGTCGAGGCAGTGGGCTGGTGGCAGTGCGAGCAAGAGCACATAGGCCTCGCGTGGTGGTGGCACAAGCTGGGGTCGCCAACCTCACTGAGCAGGGCACGCACGGTGGCGGCCTAAACGGGCGTGCGGCGGAGGCACCTACAACGTGCGGGTCTCGCACGGCGGTGCGTGGATCTTGCGGTGGCGGCGCATGGAGCTGCTGCGTCTCACCGCGCAGCGCCGGCACAAGCAAGAGCTGAGCGTGGAGCTTTCGTGAATCTCTTAATTCTCCTTCTCCTCTGTGTTGAGCTTCAGTTGGCTCGGTTTCCACCAAAAAACCGAACTATAAAACCGAAACCGAATCTATGGGTTTCTAGTTTTGAAACAAACCGAACGGTTGTTGATTGTTGAAAACCAAAATTTAACCAAAGAAACCGAACCGAATTTTTGGTTTAAACCGAATGCCCATCCCGAGGAGCATGGCAGTGCTGGCTCAGTTTTTACCCCCGTGGTCGGGAGCCCTGAGGCCCAGCCAAGCCCTTGAGTGGGCGACCTAGACGTGTATTAATTTAGCCTTTCGGTTTGTTTGCTAGGCACTGAGCTCTTCTCCTGAAATGGGCCTTCTGAGGCCCACAGAACCAATAGTCAATGGACCAGAGGGTGCACACGAGTGCACCTCATGGGTGTAGCCTTGAGCCCTTGGCTAGTTAGGAGAATCAGTCTGGGGGTTAATCGAACTGTCATGGCACTAACCTAGGGATTATATCTACCCCTGTGGTTCATACTCAATAGGAGCACCTGAGCCCCTCATAGCCTCCATGCCATCTCTAGGGTGGCAGTGATGGGATCTTCTCATCTCGACCTTTCACTCGATTAAAGAGGAAAGCTTTCACTTCGGGTTTGATTTGTCCGTCTAAGGATGTGAGGAGCGCCTTCATGACTCTTGGTCGAGTAACGCCCTCGGTGAGCTCAAACCGGTTAATCCTAAGTGGGGCGTAGCCAGCCCTTCATGGGACTATCGACTTTGAGCCTCAATGATGTGCCCCGTTTACACAGTATGCTGTGGATCCAACAACTTTGGCTCGTGGCCTTCTATGTCGCTTGGCATCCCACTCCTGTTGACGGCTTTGATAGCATACTTCATTGGCTTAGTTGCATGTTGCGATGGTCAGGCGCTCCGTGCACCCAAGATAAAAGACCGCTAGTGGGTCTATCACTTAGTGCACGTATGAATGGGAGCCGAATCCAATTCTCTTTTGATTTTGACCGACGTCCCAAATCGATCCCCAAAGCACTCGAAACACCAATACTTCCCATTGGAGTGTACATAGGACAACTGGTGACTAGATACCCTCTAAACACCTCAGAGAACTCAATGGAAAAAATGTGAAATCAAACGGACAAA